CCTCCTCCTCCTCCTCCTCCTCCTCCTCCTCATCATCCTCCTCCTCGTCCTCCTCCTCCTCCTCCTCCTCCTCCTCCTCTTTCTCCTCCTCCTCCTCCTTTTCCCCCTTCTCCTCATCCTCCTCCCCCTCCTCTTCCTTACCCCATGTCGTGCGGGTTGGCGCTACAACGCACCTGCGCATCTCAGCGTGCACCGCAAAATGGTTGATTGAGTCGGTCCACTTGGTTCTCCGAATGCCAATGTAGCTGGAGCTTCCTGGACGCAAATGGGAGGCGAGCGGAATCGGGAGGACTCGTAGATTCCAGCGGCGCTCCTATGTCCGCTCCATTTTGTCATAAGGGTTCCATCTAACATTCTAAATGCAACAGTGCTGCTGTGTTGCACACGGTTGCTGTTGTACACACGCGCGCCGTGGTGTACACAGGCACTGCACTGCACGCAGGCATTGTGGTGTACACTGGTGCTGTGTTGCACACGGCTGATGTGGTGTACGCAGGCGCTGTGGGGTACACAATGTACACAAGAGCTGTTGTGCCCGCAGGCACGGTGGCACAAACTGACGCTGCGTTGCACGCGGCTGCTGTGGTGTACACGGCCGGTGTGGTGTACACAAGCGCAGTGGTGCACGCAGGCACTGTGGTGTACACAGGCGTTCTGGTGCAGATTGCCACCTACACGCTGGTGCTACCCGTCCACCGTCATTCCCAAGCATTCCCAAACGCCGCCGGCGCGAAGCGAATCATTGTCGACCCCCTCCAGGGGCCAGAAGAGGACGCACGATGAGGACGCAGGGGCCTCGGAAGGCCGTGCCCAGAAGAAGAACAAACAGCATAGGCACAGAAACTGTTGGCGCTTCGCGCGGAATTCTTCTTGGATCTGCGCAGGCCCCCTTCCCTGGCGCGCTCCGCGCGCCAGGGGCGGCGCCGGAGGCGCCGCCACGGGGGCCCAACGCAGATCCAAGAAATACGCGCGGAGCGCCAAAAGTTTACATTTCTGTAGTTTTCCTTCGAGCGTCGACACGTTGCGAGCGGGGCGCTGCAAACGAAAGTGGCGAGCGACGGATTGGACGAAGGGAAAGGATGCAAGGGTAACGGGAAATCGTTCATTCTTACTACGCGGGTTGACTGTAAGCGTGCCGTCGGGGCTTTTGGATGAGTCTCAGGAGCGCATGGGAGGGGAAGCCACCTCGAAACGAGAAGGCCCGGCCCACATGGACTCTCGGCGGGGATGCGGCACTCCACACACCCTAAAAGCGTGTTTCTCCACCATGGACAGAATCTGCTGCGACTGTCACCATGAGGTCCCGCAGAGATCCCCTGCAAGAGGCTCCCGAAAGGCCTCCGAAAAACCTCACGAGGTCCCCGAGAGGACCCCCCCCAAAAAAGTAGCCTACGCAGACGGCAACACCGACGGCGGCAGCAGCGATGACCACGAACACGACCGTCGACCGACAAGCGACGGTCGACGGACGACGGACGAGAGACGATGGACGACGGACGAGACACGACGGACGACGGACGACAGACGACAGACGACAAACGACAAACGACAAGCGAACAACCGACGGCCGACGGACGACGACAAACGGCGACGACGACGGCGACGGCGACGGCGACGACGACGGAGACCCTGGCCGGCAAAGCGGCGCCCCACAGGTCCCCCCAAAGGCCCCCGAAGACCCCCGCGGTTCCGCGGCGGGCGCTGCGGTGCCTTCGGCACGGTGGACCGGCCAGGGCGGGGCATCCGCATCGCCAGTGCCGTCCGGCCGCCGGCCAGCGGCTCGCAGTGGATTTCGCCGGACCACGCCTGCGCCGCGCAACGGTCGCCGCCGCCGCCGCCGCCTGCGTCGGCGGCGCCGGCATCGTCCGCGCAGCTGCCGTTGGCGTCGGCGTCGTCGCCGTCGCGAGCGTCGCAGTCGTTGCGGTCAGCGTCGGCGCCGTCGCCGGGAGGAGAGGAGGGGAGCAGGGCGGGGGAGCGGGAGCAGGGCGGTGAACTTCGCGCCATGGGCTGCTCGCCGTGGGTCCCCAGGGCCCGAGGCGGGCCCCAGGATGGCGTTCAACCTTGAACGCCCGCGCCAAGGCGGCGCGAACCTGCCGAGTGCCATTGGTGCATTGAATCAATTCCACGACCCGTCGAGGACACCATCCTCACCCCTTTTCTAGTTCCCTCAAAGGGGAAAAGGAAGAAAAGAAAGAAGAAACAAAGCATAGATATATATATATATATATACACATATATGTATGTACAAGCGTATATACAACAAATAAAAAACATGGTTTCCCGACAAAAAAAAACGTCGAAGCCGCCCGTACCATGGAGAAACCCCTTGTGGCGGCGGCGCACGACCAGGCGGAGCAGCTCCATGCCTTCCAACGGCCACAGCGTCGTCGCTGCCGTCCTTCCACACCCCGCTTGGGGCGGCGGCACGATTCCCAAGCCCCGCCCGAGCACCATCCTGGCCCGTTTTAAGAGCCGCGCCCTGACGTGGCCGCGAGAATCTCCGAACACCCACGACAAACCCTCAACACACATAGGAAGCAAAATAATGAAAGGCCTTAGAAGCGGAGAAAGGCTCCAAACAGTCGGAAGACCTCCATGTCCGGGATCATCGTTCCTCCTCCTCGTCATCCTCCTCCGTTCCCTATAACTGATTTTTTCCTTTCGCGCTAGCGCCGCGCACTATCGTCTTAAACAGTTGCAAGAGTTTCACGGCCGCCCATGGTCAGCCGTTGCGTCGAAATCCGAGGAACGGCGTTCTGGCACGATTCAGGATCGTCAAGCCGCAACAGTCAAGTTGATTCGCCGCGTTGGAGTCCCGAGAAGAATGTTTTGGCGCGCTTCAGGGCATTCAAACGGTTGTCCCCCAACGGAGCAGTTCCCGCAATGGAGATGGACCCTGGTCGGGGCCCCCGAAGAGAAAACTTGGAAGGAGGGCTTATTCCAACATCGCTGATGAAGGGTTGGGCTCGCACTGGTCCTCCCCCTCTCCCCCCCCCCCTCCTCCTCGAGCGTAGCCGGGGCGACCAAGTCTGGATCTGTCGAGCCGATGGGCGGGCGACCTGACGCCGCGACAGACGGAGGAGAGCAGCCAGGCCCCTCGGTGTGGAGTTCACATGACGTACGAGCTGCATTATGCACGAAGAGAGCACTCTTGCACATTGCACATTGCACACTACATGCCGATGGGCAGGACTACATGCACAGGACTGCATATGCACATATGCACTATATGCATTATGCACTTATGCCGAACGCATGATGATGTCCGCACTGGGACAAACGGACTATTGCGATATTGATTCACGACGCCAAGGCGCTGGATGTGGCACTTCGGGAGCCGGGGACGAGACAGAGTGGAGAGGAGACGCAGAAAGGGAGGACAGGGCCAGATATGAGCAGAACAGTGCTGGACAGCACAACCGAGAGGAAGTCGCTGCTGTTCCTGAAAATGTGAGGCTGTGATCCACCCACCCACGAGTCGTAACTACGCTGGCTCGCCAAAAGGGAGGGAGGAGGAGGAGAGAGGAACGGACATCTGACCAGGGGATTTGGGCAAAAATAAGAGCCGGCTTGAGAGGACCTGGGAGGTGTCAGGGAAGATGAAAGTGGGGAGCTTGGGAAAGAGGACGCTGAGGATGTATAGCTTGGACAATAATATGCGGCTTGGCACATTGAATACGTTTAATCTGTAGGAGGGCATGAGGACCATGAGGGCGAAGACGCGCGACCTAGGGGAAGCCTTTCCTCGCCTGGGAAAGAGTCGAGGCAATGGCGAGCGATTGACAGCAACGCGGCCACAACTGCTGGTGTCGGACTCCGTCGGCCCACGTCCGACGCGAGACCACCTGAACAAGCGGGAGGGCGTCGTGAGCACATTCGTACAACATCCTCCTCCTCCTCCTCCTCCTCCTCCTCCTCGTCCATCCTACTTCCCATCCTGGATCCTGCTCCCCCTACTCCTCACCGGTCCTCCTCCTGGGGCGGCGGCGCGCATCCAGGGTAGGCGCTTCCATGCCGTCCACGGGCTGCAGCTGAATGCACCGCCGGCGCCCCCTTGCCGCGGCCTGGCTCTCCCGAGGCGCGCGGGGGCTGTCAACCTCGATGTTCGACGATGTTCGATTCGAGACTCGTCGAAGGTTCTCGCTGGTGGCCGACGGCTGTCGGGTGCTCTCGGAGTGTATCGGGGGCTCTCGGAGCTAGGAGGCTCCGGGAGGCGCGCCGGCGCCTTCGTCGCCAACGTCGTCGTCGTTGCCATTGGACAAGATGATCGAGAGACTCGAGGATCACGGATTCTGGCGTCTGTCCAAATTTCTGGGCATACGGAGGCCTCCAGAAGACGTCGGTGGTCGTCGTCGCCGACGTCGCAAAGGTCGTCGCCACCGTCGTCGGGGGAGAGTATAATAAGAAGGACGGAGCAGGAGAGGAGGGGAGAGGGGAGAGAGGAGTGGAGGGGGGGAGAGAGGAGGAGCGATGGGGGAGGGGGGCAGAGGAAGGAGAGAGGAGAGACGGAGAGGGGAGAGGGAAGACAAGAACGGGCTGAGCGGAGAAGGGAGGGGAGAGGGGGGGAGTTAAGCTGTGCGCGTTCGCCATCTAAATCACGTCCTACCCCTCCCCCCATGACATTGCCTTGCGTTGGCCCCCCCTCTATTCGCAGAGTCGGGTGTCGGTAAAGACCTGATCCCGAAAGGGCAACCTGATCAAAGAGGACCTCAACCCCGGCGAATCAGGGGCTGGGAGGGAAAACCAACAAGCGGAGGCGGGAAGGAGGAGTTAGAGGAGGGAAGGCGAGCGAAGACGGACGAGTGCGGTTGAACTGACGGCGACGACGAGCAATGAACCAGAGGATAAATGACGGAAGGGGGAGGATAAAAGAAGAGGCATGGAGGGCGACGACAGCGAGGGGTCGTAACGACACACACGCACATCCAAGCGGTGCCCCTACACCAAAATGATAACTGCATGCCAGAACCACTCTTGGGAGGCACAAACCACATGCGGATGCAGGGGTGCGGCCAACGCCGCGGCAATAGCGTCGTTCAGTTTTGAAACTCCTGACAGTGGCACTTTCTGCAACGAGTCAACCAGGACTACGGCCAGTGATGCGGCAGGAGCGCCGTTCCCTTGGACAGCCTTCTCTCTCATGTTGTCTTTGTGTTTCTCTCTCTCTCTCTCTCGTTCTCTCTCTCTCTCTCTCTCCTTATGCCTCTCATGATCTCTCACTCTCTCTCTCTCTCACCCTCTTCACTTCATTGATCCCCCAAGGGTCCCAACCGTGTGATGCAGAATGAGAAGGGGAGCTGTCAACGCTAGACGAGGAGGACGAGGCCACGGAGGAGCAAGAGCAGGGAGAGGAGGACGCTTCCAGCTGAGAGGGGCAAGGAACAGCAGCAGCAGCAGAAGGGTCAGCAGGAGAAGAAGGACGAGCGAAGAGTGGGAAAGAGGGGGAAAGGCCCGGGCGGCAACGGCGAGGAAGAAGTCCGATCCAGAAATGTGCCCCGCGCTGAAACACTCTTAAAGGGCAGAACATCCACCCCCACAATTAGAGGAAAGAGAACCATGCACATACACCGACTCTGGCCAGGGCCGTCCTGAGCCCAGAACCGGTGCATATGCCCTCATGCCTTGGCGAGGAGGGCATATGCACCGATCCTGGGTCAGGGATGGACGCTGTCAGGATCGGTGCATGTGCATAGTTCTCTTCGCCCGAACAATATAGTCACCCCGACAAGCGGAGCCATTCAGTAAACGCACCCAAGGAAAGAATCAAACAAGGCAGGGCTATTTGCCCAAACGCCCGGGCCCGTTTACTAAACGTCGGTTGTCGGGTCCGGGTGGTTTTCCTTCCTTGCATCCTGAACCATGGGAGCATCTCGCCGATTCTGAAAAGTGGTCTGCGCTGCAGCGAGATTACAGTTTTGGAATGACCAGGACAGCTCTGAGCGTACAAGAACCATGTCGAGAGCGAGCTCGAAACGAGCTTGCGTTAGAAAATAATCTACGGGATAGGCGGATAACAGCAAGACGAAGAGAATCGCAGTTGGTTTGTCGAATCACGGAGGGCAGGAAGGGGAGAGCAGCAGGTCACATGCGCGCGCGGCACACCTGACATCATACCATTCCCGCCCATTCCCGCCCACCACTCCCCAGAGCGTGGAAGGCCTTTTGTTCGCCAAATCCGGTGTCGGATCGGACAGTGCTCCCTGACATGCAGTCAAGCTGGGTCCAAGCAGCGCGAAGAGAGGTCAATGTACTCATGCTCTTCCTCCTGCCTCTCCCCGCCTACTCGTCAACATCAATCATCTTCTCGCCTCATCCAACGCCTCACCCTCCTCCTCCTCCTCCTTCTCCTCCTCCTCATAGTCACCCGATTCATAACCAACACCATCATACCATCACCCTCACAATCCTCATCCCTACCACAACCACCATCAGCAGCCTCGAAATCCGAATCATCCATCAACATTATCATCATGACCATCACTGTGACCACCCGCATCATGTTGATCATCACCAGCAGCATAATCAGTATCACCAACAACAAATTCATCGTCAGCATCGTTGTTGTCATCATCCTCAACATCAACATCAGCATCAGCATCCTCATCATATGCATCCGCATCACAATCATCATCATCATCATCATCATCATCATCATCATCATCATCATCAGCATCATCATCATCATCATCATCATCATCATCATGACCATCACCATCATAACAACCCTCGCTTCCATCGTCATCATCATCACCATTGCAACAGCGTCATCGCATTAATCTGGATCATCTGACTCATAACCAATAGCACCCGCGACATCACCATCGTCCCCATCATCATCCGCATCATCATCAGCAACATCAGAATCGTCATCGTCGTGGCCGGCGTTTTCATCATCCGTATCATCAACGTCAGAGTCACAATCATCAGCACGATCATCATCATCGTCATCATCACTATCACTATTGCCATCATCGTCTGCATCATCATCACCAGCGCCATCACCACAGTCAGGACCAGTATCACCATCCTCCGCATCAATCTCATCATCATAATCACCATCACCATCACCAGCATCATGATCACTAGCAGCACCAGCATCATCATCATCATCATGATCCATAACATCATCTTCATCATCGTCACGATCGTCATAATGATCGTCGTCATCGTCAACGGCATCGCCATTCTCCGCTTCCTCATCCTCCTCCAGTTCCTCCCCCCCTCCTCCTCCTCGGGTCATGGAGGCAAAAAAGTATGTCAGATGTTGCCCTCCTCCTCCTCCTCCCCCCCCTCTTCCACCACCTCCCTCCGATGCCCCCCCCCTTCCTCCCTCCCGTCCTCCCTCGGTGTCACCGCGCCCCTTCTCAAACGGCCGGGACCGCGCGCCCGCGACGGCTCGCCGGCCCCCCGCGCGGCGGCCGGAGGCGGAGAGGCGGCAGGCGGCGCGGGCCCAGTAGGGGAGCGACTTGTCTGGCTCCACCACCACCACCTCCTGGGTGCCTGGGCAAGAAAAGGGGGGAAGCGGGGGCGGAGGAGGGGGAGGAGGAAGTGAGGAGGATGATGACGATGAGGACGAGGAGGAGGAAGAGGAGGAGGGAGGTAGGGGGAGGACTGCCTGCCTGACTGGCTGACACACTTGCGATATACTTGCTGCCTGAATGTCAACGCAATAACATGAAACAAAACGGGGCCTGGAAGTGCAGCAGCTGGATATCTGTTCGCGAAACTGTGAGCGACTGTCTAGATCGCCCTGCAGAGGGATACCTCAAACCCACTCCGAGAGCCTCCGAAAATGGAAGCCTGGAGGCCTCGGCTGGGCACCGCTCCGCAGCTGAACGTACAAGCGACGTCGAGACGTCGTTTGCATGCGTCATACGAGAAATTAAGCGCGCACAGCTGGAATGACATGGCGTGCACACATGTAGAATACACACGCGCACGCCAGAAGCGGGCTCAGAAGAAAAATGACCGCAGTGCCCACAGTCCCACCTCATGGTTGCGGGTTGGGAGTCCTGTCATAATCGCCCAATGTTTGGGAAGAAGCACATGATACAATTCTAGATCCACACGAACACTCACAAGCCGATGATGTGCACGATCATCGGACGCTACTGTGGCAATGTGAGGGTCGACGGTCATGCGCAAAGCTCAGACATCGGAGGTTCGCCTGGCAAGGACCAGGAGACACATAGAAAAAAAGGAGCGGATCCGAGTATAACGCTCTGAGCTCCTGGCCAGCCGAAGTCTGGTAGCATAAAATAAGATCCGCCGGAGGTATTTGCAGCACAGTCAGTCCTGAATGCTGGAGCCGTCCATCACGAGCCATCTCGACCATTCGGGCTGATCCTCTGATGGTAACAAGGTTGACTGAGGAGGCGAAAAAACAGGTGAGGTAAGGTAAGGTCAGGTCAGGTAAGGTAAGGTCAGGTCAGGTAAGGTAAGGTAAGGTGAAGTAAAGTAAGGCACTTGGGGAGATGACTCCGCAACAGTAGCAGCAGCCACTTCGGGCCCTTCAGGCCTCCCTGCGATGGCAACTGTACGCAGGGCCTCGGACCTGCACGAATCCAGATCCCGCGTGGGCTCACAGCCCCTCCGCCACCCTCCCTTCCCCCACCCCCCAGAGGCGACCCGATCAGGGTGGCCCCGCGGCAGAAGGTGAGGCGCCTCTCCGTCGCTGGTTCGGGTCGGGGGACGAGAGGCTGGCGAGATCTCGTCCTCGCGAGACTCTCTCCAAAAAGGGCCTCGCATCACAACTCCGCGCGCGAGCGAAATGAGAGGAACAAACACGCACACAACTCAAAAACACACAACGCTGAGACGACTAAAGAAGCGCCAAACGCGCGCCCAAGCTGAATATGTCAGGCTGCATGGAACAACTAAAACCGTGTCGTCTTCTGCCGAACAACTCTTAGCTCCATCCAGTTATAGATCGCTTGAAGAGCTACGTGCTCGCGCCCCTTCGCGAGCGATGACTGCGCGCTGTAATTCCGTCGGCCGTCTGTCCCCCTTCATGCACAATAAGCTCATACACCGGATCCTGCAATGTTGAAACATTCTCCAGTTGGTTTCCCACATGAACATGCATAATTGCCTTTTTGCTTCGGATGTACGCGAGTGCACGCACATCGTCAAACATCGAACGCAAAGAGATCCCATACCGTCGGGATAACCGAGAGTACCTCGCAATGCGCTGGCACATGTTTGATAAATCTTCCAAGTTCTGTAAGGTGGAATCCGTAGCCAGTTTGGCTCAAGGATGCGTGCTTCCCTGCGAAACAAATGGATACCGCTTGTCCGCGGCAGTGCCAGGGCGCATGCACCCGACGTTCCTCCCTCACTGGTGCACTCCAGTTCAGGATCCATTTGGGCTTGGAGTTCGCCCTCCAAGCTCACGACCACGGCCCCTCTCCAACGATGTCCCGGGGCCAGCAGGGGCACTCGGCAAGGGCAAAGGCTTCCCAGGCCCCCCTGGGCGCGCAGGTCCTGGCTGGCCCCCAGCGCGGCGCCGGCGCCGGCGCCGACGCGCGCGGCGTTTGCGGGCGCGCCAAGAATGCTGAGAGGTTCTTCAACTGCAAGCACCGCGGGTCGCACAAGCCCTCTGCGGGTCAGCCCTCGGCCCGGCAGGGGGGCGCGGCCCGGCAGCTCTCCGGGCTCAACAACGGCCACCCTGGCAGCACCGCGCGGGACGCCAAGGTTCCCCCATGGAGAGCTGGAGGAGGGGCCCCCCTCAGCAAAGGCTGCGGCGGCCAAGCCAAGGGAGGGGCCCAGCAGCCCCAAGCCATGGATGCTGACGCTGCGACTTCGGGCCTCTCGGCGGAGAAGTTCGAGACCATGGCAGCGCTGCGCGACAAGCTTGGCGATGGGAAGCAGGCCGAGTCACGTCGCCGGGCCGCCGAAGCTCTCGCGGCGCCGAAAGAAGCCCCCGAGCCCGCCTAGGTCCGTCTTGACACGGCCCACTGGAAGTTGCGGGGCGCCAACAAGAAGCTCGAGTCAGCGCAGGAGAAGCACGAGGCATTGGAACGCCAGCTCGCCGAGCAGAAGACAGCGGCCCTGGAGCTTCGCAGCGAGCTCATCACAGCAGAGGCCGATCACAGCAGTCTGGCGCAATGCCTGCTCGAGGCTCAGGAGATGCCGAAAGACAAGCTGCCCTCGCATCAGTGCAAGCTGTCGTTCGAGGACATCATGGACCAGAATCGTCTCGCGCAGGTCTTCGGCATCAATGTTTGCGATTTGCTCAAATGTAGAGGCCAAGACCTCGACGAAGAGGACAACGCGGAGATCGAGTCGCGCGCGCAGAAGCCCGAGCTGGGCCTCTCGCCCATGGGAGGCGCATTGCTTGCGGATGCTAAGCAGAAGATGGACGAGCGTAGGCAGACGCACGCGGCGCACCTCAAGAGATTGGCAGCCAAGCGGAGACGCACCAACGAGGGCGAGGAGGAGAGCTGCAGGGCGGTGGAGGCGCCCCGCCAGCAACGCCGAACCCTGGGGCTGGAGCAGCTGCGGCTGAGCGCCCAGCCCCTGCGTCTCCAGCGGGCGCAGGACCTCCTGCGCCAGCTTCTCCAGGCCCAGCCGCGGGGGCCAAGGTCGACAGGCAGGGCGCCCCGCCGCAGCCCGGTGCCGCCGCAGCGGCGACGACGGGCGCCGAGGCCAGTTGCGGGGGCCCCGCCTTGGCCCCGACAGCTGGCCCCGCCCGCGAGCGCGCTGATCGCGTCGCAGGCGCGGCCCCCCAGTCCGATTTGTTCCCCCCTGGAGGCACGCCATAGAGACCTCTTCTCGTCGGTCGACTCGCCAGTCCCTCGGGGCCCGTTGGCCCGTCGCTCGCTTCGCGTCCTCCGAGGGGGGGGGGGGCTAAATTATTCTGACGCGCGCAAGTGGGCCCCTTCCGCTGCCCAAGCCCACCTTAGGCGCATGAGGGGGGCCTTAGGTAAGTCGCCACACGTCGCCAAGCAGTCAGAGTAGTTGCCAGCGCTCCGCTGGACTTCTCTTTACCCAGGGCGCTGCATCCTGCGCCACCCCCCCCCCCCTGGTGAGCCATCGCGACAGGTCGACGCGGAGGGGGGGGGGGCCCGCCGCGGCCTGCTCTCGCCCCCGCGCTAAGCCCGGCGAGCTCGATGAGAGAAACAATTCAGGAGCGCCCGAGCGCGAGTCTCTTCTCTCGGGAACGTTCTGCTGCGCGCGCAGCTCTGCCAGGTTGAATGCGTCGCTACACAAGGCCAGCAGCGCGAGCCTTCCGCTGCCAGCCCCTCTCGCTGGCAGCCGGCACTCTTCGGGCGGCCTCTCGGCCGATTGTCTGGCGCCCCTCACGATCCGCACCATCAATGCCAATTTACGGGGCACGTTGAAGGGCACGTTGGAAGATTGATCCGCCCATCGTGCTCGCACAAGAGCACCGTCTGATATCGAAAGAGAACAACGAACAGGCCAGTGAATGGTGCATCCGCAGACGATGAAAGTCGGTCTGGGCCCCAGCCATCCCCACTCAGGCTCAGGAGCCCAGTGGAGGGGTGCCATATTAGTGCGTTCCTGGACGGGTTGCCTGACCATCGACGGTGCCATCCCGACGCTGGGAAGATGCATCGCGTGCTCGGTCCACCCCCCTGGGACCCCCCATTGTTGTCGCGCCCGCGCACCTTCACCCCTCTGCAAGCCTCTGTGATTCCAATCTCGGCCTGTTTGCCAACTTAGGAGCGCAGCTGTCGGCAGTCGGCCAGCCGCGGGTGCTCGGGGCAGATTGCAATTTTGAGCCAGCCGGGCTCGAGTCTTCTTCTGTCGTCTCTGAGCTGAAGGGTAGCCTCAGTTCTCCTGCCGTTGCCACTCGTTACCCCGCTGGCCCTCCCACGACGTTCGACTATTTCGTGTTCCGGCAGTTTGGCCAAGGGCATCAAATCGATCGAGGCGCCGTTGGACGCGGAGCTCTCGCCCCATCGCCCTGCCCAGTTAATGTTCCATCCCCAGCTGGCCGCCCCCCAGGCCCCCGCCTTCGGGAGCCCCCCCACCCCCCCACCCCTCGCCTTGCAAGCGGGCGTTCGGCCCTTTTCCCCAGGACAGCTGTTGGGGTGGAGAGATCGCCCTCGCTGCGCCGGCGGAGCAGTGTCCTAGGGCAGAGGTTGCCGGGGCCGCTTTATTGCCGCTGGGCCGACCGCGCCGAGCGCGCCCCCCCCCCCCCCCCCCCCCCCGAGCTCGGCACCCGAGGCCCCGGCCCCCAGCTTGCGTGGAAACCCATGCTGGCCAAAGACGGGAAAGCGCGGCACCCGGCTCACCGAGCCATCGCATGGTTAGGGCAACAGCTGCGCGCATTAATTCGCTTTCGCCGCTGAGGCGCGCGCGCCACTGCCGCGTGGTTGGGCGGCTTGCCAGCGGAGCCTCCGCTCAACATCTCGGCCGCGAAGGCGGGCGGCGAGCAGCTCTTCAGTCGCGTGGCTCAGGAGGTCTCTGCCTTTTTAGCATCAGATGGGGAGGTCGAGCCACTCGCCGATGTGCACGCCCAGGCGTTCGAAGCT